CAACTTCTCCCAGAACGAGGCGCAGGTCGTGGTCTGTCGGAAGCCTTCACTCGACAGGTAGTGTACAAGTTCCAGGTTTTTCACGGCTTCGCATGGAGATTAACATTGGAACTTTCTTGATCCTGCTGATCAACCTTCCAGCTGCTCCAAAATGCGGGAAGCTAGGTAACAAGAACCAGTGCTGTAAGGTGAAAGATCCCTTCCCTTATCACTACAAAATCGCAAAGATCCCTTCCCTTATCACTACAAAATCGTCTGCCAACCTTCATTGGTAAAAAATCCGCTGCTGGGGGATTTTCCCGGGCCAACTGTTAAAACTTCCTAAAGAGCACGGGAGATTTGACGTTTTAGGAACCATATCTTCGGTGATGCACAAAACAGAAGAAAACAAAAGCGAGTGATGAATATGAAAACATTTCCTTCCTCCTCACTTCGAAATCGTTTATGGTAATCAATTACCTGAAAATGCCAACGAAGACGCCATCTTCAGCGTGCTGGCTATCGCCATTTAGAGGGGCATTACTGACTTCACACATAAATTTCAAGTATTGGTGCAGCTTTTAAGGGAGCACAAGATTCACGCATCAACTTCACTGGACTTCAAGTTTCACTTTCACTTTGGAAGTACCTATTACAGCGTGGGTCTCACTTTTCCACTAAATAGTGTCATTCACACTAATACTTCACTGACTTCCCTCCACTCTATATCTGCATTCACCTTGCCATCGCCTCACTGACTAGTGGCTCTTTCAAGTACGGCATCCTCCTCCCCTTTTCACGACCTCCGTCAAGGATCCTTAATTGTTGCTTAACATTGACTCAGAGGGACATATCTCGCAAAAAATTTTTTCAACAATGAGTGAAGGAACATAGTCCTGAGCCTTTCTGGAACCTGGATCTCTAGAAGGTCAACAAAAATATTCTGTAGTAATCTCGAAGCTGCTCAAACGTTTGCTGATAAACGTAGTGGGAAGAACTAGAACCTGTGCTGGAAGCGACTTATGGATCTACCTTCTTTGGAAAAGTGCTCACCTCTCCCATCAGCCTACCAATTGCTGCTCCCAGAACAAAAATGGGCATAAACACACCGGAGGGAACCGGCAGAGTCATACACACGATGGAGAAAACGAACTGAAAATATTCGAGCAATCCTCCTGCCTTGAGTCCAATGAAAATGTAAATACTCACATGCACTGTGATGAAGATGGTTTAGAAGAACTAGAACATTGACTGGTTGACCAAGCCAGTGATCCGAAACACCTGTTTTACAAGCGAGAAATGAGGGTGGCGTCTCAGAGAAGGTGCAATTACTGAAGAAATCCCTCAGATTCAGACCGAACCTTTGCTGGAACAATGCTTTTTAGAGGTGGCTACATTGTTCAATTACACGATGGTGATCAATCTAGGAGGGCGCAGTTTGTCGACGGGGGGCATTTTGCTTTCCATAGATGTGTCGACCCATCTAGGCAGCCGTTTCTCGAGTTGACACGTTTTGATAGTGGCTAGACGATCTTACTTCAGCTTCACAAGAGTTCACAAGTTTTACCAGAGTGAGATTTGTAAACCGGAACTAGGGAAGCAATGATAATACAAAATGCCCCCCCCCCGTCGACAAACAGCGCCATCTAGGAGCTCTATAAACTGTTATCGACCAATCCTTTGTTCTTTTATTAGATGCTAGCTAGAAACATGCTCACGTGAAGTTTGAGAGTTAGATAAATCTTGAAACTTGCTCTCCTCTCAGTTTTTAAAAGGGCATGGCCATTTATCTTTCTCATGGAGACTTCTGGAGTGCACGTCTATCTCTTATACTACAATCTTACCAGGAACTCAAGGCTTTCTGAATGTTATTGAAGTCAGACTTTCTCTATGGAAGGCATGAGCGATGATGGCGAATTCTCTGTGATATCAGATTCGCGCCACGGCTCTCCAGAATCGTTTTATTTAATTCTACTAAAAATCCTCTTCACCATTCCCAGGCGGTTCATACCGAAACGCTTGATCACAAAATGGATTGCTAGTCTTCTCATTCTGTCCCCGTACCGCTACAGTCGCTGCTTGCCCTCAGATTAAGAATGTTTCCATACTCCTGAACTACCCTTTTGGCTGGACCCGTGCTTTAGTGAATTAATAAACGCTTTTCAAGACCAAAAAAAAGTGAAGCTCCATTTCGCGACTCACCACCTTGGATCTGATGACGCTCTTCCTGATTTCGTTTCGGAGCTATTACGTCAAACTCCCTCCTCAATTCAATTAGGTAAACCCAGCGTTATCCTGTACGAAAGCTCGATGTGCTCCACAAAAAATAAAACTAGTATAGCACTGTGAGAACACAGGAACCTCGTACACTTTATTCACCGATTTTCATTCTCAAGCAGCGTTAAAACTCACCTTGATCTTTTGAAGCCTTTTGTCGAGAAAAGTAAAGTGCGCATGGCTAGGTCGTCCCTGTTCTAGAGTTAAGGACCCTTCACTCATAGAAAATGACATTTTTATTGCTTCTCTTGATATCATCATCCCGCCCTTCCTAACGCTTTCCATTTTTACGTTTGGACAAACCACGCTTGCACAATGTAGACCTGCACTTACCGTTCTTCGGAAAGTTCTGTCACATCTTTCAGAATGGGCTTCTTTTTCTAGAAAGGTGTTCGAGATCAAAATATACACCACTGTTATGGCGGGATTATTGCCAGTCTTTGAGGACCTCATGGATGTCCTCGCTTCACAATGCAGGCAGGCACTTGGACGTCATTGTTGATTTTGATTTGTTCTTGAGCATCGTGGAGGTTTTCTCGTTTTACCATCAACGGTCACAGAAAAACGGGAGGTAAGCGTGGATGTCAACGGGTGTCGCATGAGAACGCAGGAGGACATCGATGAGGTGCTCAAAGACTGGCTGTTAGGAGGAGCAATGTCTGGGCTACACCTGTGCAAAGGGAGTGTCAGCTGACTCGATGGCTCCTTCCATTCGTTGAAGCCTTTGGCTCGAACCTCTTTTGGACCGGGTGGCCTGCGATTGTCATGCTAAATGCAGACTCTGCTGGACGAATTCCCCCTCCCCGATTCGCTTCAAATCTCGTAGCTGCATTGTGCAGGGACTGGAGTAATAAAAGGTGCACACCACAATAAAAAACAGTAGCACTTGTGGTGTGGCAAGGCATACCATAACCGTATGCACCATTACTCGTTACTCTACAACAAGTCATCCACACACTTACCCTTCCTGTAGAAAATTTTCCCAGCCCAAGGGGAAACGAAATAGTGCTAAATAAAAGCGGCACGAAAATAGGATAAACAATCCAGCTGAAAAGAAGACAACTAAATCTTTTCACAGTGCCATATTACGAAATACTTACTGGTGTCTTCTTATTAAATGAAACTCTTCGAAATATTTATTTGACGACGTTTCGGGCCATAAGCCCTTCTTCAGGTCTATAATATACATACACAATAAATCTATCAAACTCATACTTAAACATCAGTTCTAGCTAAAGTGACCGACACTATTGGAAATATACAGCCTTTAACAACTGACCGATTACAGGCAAGTGGGTGTTATGGTCCAGGCGGACGGGTTCTTCCCGGGAACCACGTGGATCACTGCAAATGCTGTAAGATGGACTCGGAAGGGGGAGGCGTAAAGGCATATGGGAGGGACTCACCTATCTAGCTGCTCACTCTCGCAGAAATGAAGCAACTAGATCGGTGGTGGGAAGGGCAAGGATGATGTCATCATCATCCTTGCCCTTCCCACCACCGATCTAGTTGCTTCATACTCCCCCATATGCCTTACGCCTCCCCCTTCCGAGTCCATCTTACAGCATTTGCAGTGATCCACGTGGTTCCCGGGAAGAACCCGTCCGCCTGGACCATAACACCCACTTGCCTGTAATCGGTCAGTTGTTAAAGGCTGTATATTTCCAATAGTGTCGGTCACTTTAGCTAGAACTGATGTTTAAGTATGAGTTTGATAGATTTATTGTGTATGTATGTTATAGACCTGAAGAAGGGCTTATGGCCCGAAACGTCGTCAAATAAATATTTCGAAGAGTTTCATTTAATAAGAAGACACCAAGAAGTTACTACCCAATGAAACTCAGGAACCCTATGATACTATCCGAAACACTTACTGTTGTTGGAATACCTCCTTGGCGTACTTGTTGTTTCGCAGAAACAATACAATGGTTCGATAGAGTGATATGTACATAGCTCCCAAAATACCACAAAGTATTCCAAGAACCACAAATAGAGGGAGTTCATTGACGACGAAAGCATCAGGTGCAAAGCTCGTTTGAAAGAATGCATTGACGGTAACTGAAATAAGTCTATGATCTCGAACGTTGTCTTTGTATAAAGGCCACATATCACCCCTCTACATCGTGCTACCTTATAGGGTAAAGCAACTACTCCGGCAAATAATGATCGTTCCATATGCGTTCTCCAACAAAAATCAACGAAACTAGCGAAGGTGAAGAGCAGGAAATTGCTCTGAAGGATGTCTTCAAGGCTGATGGTAGCCAGGAGACTTTCAGCTGCTCCAATCCCAATCCTACCAGAGCGGTGGAAGAGCGGATTTCTACCGTTTTTATCCTTTGTCCTACTGCTGAGGGAGGTTATAGTGTCATGCGCTTCCCTGACCGATGGTGGAAAAATATTCCATATGACGTAGCCCTACTTGCCACGATACGTGGCATGCTCATTTGGATGCGCATAATAATCGAATGTAAACTTCAAGATTCAGCACCTTCGGTCTGAGCAACAAATCCTCTCAAAAGTCGAGTCGTTATTGCACCACAGCAGGCTGCAAAAAAACCGCGCCAGTAACTGCGTACAGAAAAGTACATGGTTGTCACTTCTATGGAAAACAACACGCCTGAAAAGTTTCTCAACGTTCTCTTATAAATCCATCACCATTTGTCATCGAAACATGTGCATTAGTTGGGCTGCAAAAGTGTTGAAGTCACATTTACGATGCAGAGATCGGGACCTAGCCGCGCCAGCTGTTTTTATCAATATACCACAGTGCGTAACAAAAGTATGTGGACACCTCAAAATCTAGTTTCAAAATGTAACCAAAACACTTTCTTGATCTGGATCCTTCCTCAATCGATTCCTCGTGGCCGATAACCCTATAATTGGGCACTCGAGCAATAACGAAGGTTTGTTTTCGTAACATATTTTTGAATAGAATTTCCTTGTTTGTACCAAAAGTATGTGGACACCTGAGAAAGTCCAAAGTTTGGCTCCAAATCTGCAATCCATTTTATCGTCTCTACTCCCCATTAACCTGTACTCATGCCTCGTCGTGGTAGTACTCTCTCCGAAGAAGAACAAGCTCAGATTCGAGCTCTCAGTGCTGCTGGACACTCAAATAGAGAAACTGCACGACAGCTCGGACGTTCGGCGACGTGCGTTGGTAAATACCTCCAGAATCCTGATGGACCATTCAGCACTTATTTCGGGGCGCCCACGATCTTTGTCCGCAAAAGACATCAGAAGAATAGCGCGTACTGCCTCGAACTCCCCCTTCTGAGAGAGATCCATGCTGCAATGAATCTACCGGTCTCAAAAATGACAATATGGCGCTATATTCGATCAAATGAGCACATCACTCGAGAGACCATGAAGAAAGCTCCCTGTCTGACTGCCAAGATGAAAAAAGCTTCCTGTGTGGCTGCCAAGCACCAAATGGCAAGACTGAACTTTGCGTGCAAACATGGCGACGT